TAATGTTACTTTATTTTATAATCATATTTATTTATTTTATTTGTGAAATTTAAATACAATGAAATTCGATAAACCAGATTCGGGCTTAAGCCGGATTTTTTTGCTGGAACCAAATCACGTATATTGAAATAGTTTCGATATACCCGAGTTTACTAGTAAAGTCTCGATATTCGCTATAACGGATCAAACTTCTAACCAGTTTTAGTAAAAATGATTCGATATAATTATATCGTAGTATGACGTAACGTAATAGGGTAAATCTTAATTTTGGCCAGGATTATAAAATATTAATTCTTGCTGAAGTTTATTTTCAATTAAAAATATCTCATTTTCATTTTCATGACCTCTATAAGATGAAAAAATTAATATATAATATATATTAGTTTTATTAGCATTAAAAATTCTTAAAAATTCAGTATAATAGATTTTCAACATATCGAAATTTTTTCGCTATACCTGATACCGGATATCCAGATATTTTTAGTGAGAACCGATAGATCCAGTTTATCGAATTTCAATGTGTATATTAATAGACAACTATTTTCCATTAATCTTATAAATCCTAATCAACACTAAAAGCCGGGCTCACACCTGGATCAAAACTTATTGCACAAAGTGAACTACCTCATTACCTCTAATTCTTATTATAAATTCTGAATCAAAATTTTCACTTTTATAAGAAAAAATAGGAAACTGTCTGATGTAGATTGTCAGCTTCAACATTCATTAATAATAGAATAATAAGGTTGCCAACTTAATGGATTATAACCTCAATTATCTGTCCACTTACTTTCAATTTTTTCGCTCCAAGTCCATCTCTATTGGTACTATAAGAAGTTTAAACCAATAGGAATTATTTGTGGTATTATAAAAAGACTTTACTTTTTTATCAATCCAACTTGCAATAATATTATAAAATTGTCTTGGAAATACATGTTTAAATTGATTAATTTTCCAATTGAAGAATGTCAATAACATTGTATGATTATTAATTAAATAATTTGAATATGATCACTTAATTTTTCATCAAACTGCTATTAAAAGTTCTAATACCTTTATATCATTTAAATTAACTAAACCAGAAGTATAACAATATTTCTTATGGAATAATTATTTTTAAAAAAACAAAATATTTCTTTTTCCCCTATCTTTTGATAAACCAGTTTTAAAATATGTTGATCTAGAAATTAATATGTTAATGAACTTGTGAATTTTTTCATATTCACCTTTCTCATTAAATCATAATCATCTTAATTATCTCCAGTAGTAAGAAGTTGACCGATATTTTTATATTCAATAAATTCTTTGTTGTATATAAATAAAGGTAGTATAATTTTTAGGTCATTATACATAAAATCTAGATCCATTCTTTCATATAAAGTATATAAAGTATAAAGTATTAGCAATCTCATCCAGCTACATGTTTAAAGAATAGATATTGGTTTAAGATTATTTTCTAATTCTGATAACTTTTTTTAAAAGATTTTGTAGTATTTCATTTTTAGGAAATTATGTGACATGAATACTCTGGAAAAATTGTCATCTATTTCAATAATTATATTGATTTGTCTAAATTCTTTTCAAGGATTCTTTTCATAAAAATAATAAAATCAAAATATTAGATAAGCTTTTATTTACTAATAATATAAGTATCTTACTAATCTTAGTTTTTCCAGGTAATAATTTACTTGCTGCGGTTATTTATATGACATCCCGTCATCACGTGGTTAAGAGCGTTGTACCTTAAAATGATTAATGATTTTAAATAAATTCGGAATATAAGTCTTTAAACTTACGCAGTAATTTGTCGAATAATATCTTAAAAATTCTGTCCAAGATGAAATTAAAAATTTTTTTTTTCTACAGAAAAATTACGTAAGTTTATTATTGGTCACCAATCTATTATTTTGTCGGACTGATGTTTTTTGTTACATATTTTTTTTTATCGGCCGAATATCAAATATATTTACAACCATATAATCTATAAATTGATCCTTCAATAAGTTTTACACTTTGATTATACTTTTTTATATACTCTTATAATAATAACATGATCTTGTGTTTCGGATACGAATCTCCGATCCTTTTTGGTAATGATCTTTATTACTCTGTTTAGGAATTTGAAACTGAAATTGATGACATAATTTAAAAAACTGATTAACCAATCAGAAAAAATCATTCTGGGTATTTTTTTCACAGAAAACTTTTAAACGCGTTTCTTTTATCTTTTTTTTATCTTTTACATTTTTATTGAGAATTTCTTTTCTTTTTTTTTTTTTTTTAAAAAAAAAAAAAAGTCACTATTTTATATTGTAATAAGGAAACGAAAGTCTCAACTCTTCTGATAGTACATAACCTGTTGCTACACGTTAAACACGCGAACGAAACCAAAAATATCCACTATCAAAACACAAGAAAAACTGCCCAAATTAAAGAAATAGTTGCTCAAGATATAAATACTCAAGAAACAACTACTCAAGAAACAACAGCTCAAGAAACAACCAACACAACCAACACGGTTATTGAAAAACTACCCATAGCGACTATGTCTAGTACAAGTTCTACTCAAACAGTTCGACGTTCAAAACGTTTACAAGACAAAAAGAATTCTTCACTTGAACAACCAATAGGAAAAGCATCTGGAATTCTTCAAACAACTCAGATAACAGCCACAGTAGTTATTGAACAACTACCTCCAGACGCGGCTATGGCTAGTACAAGAACTATTCAACAAACTCCTCATCCCAAACGTGGACGAAAACGAAAGAATTCTTCGCCTGAACGACCAATAGAAACCGAATCTGAAAATCATCAAATTCAAGATACAAATGCTCAAGAGACAACAACCTCAATTATTGAACAACCACCTTCGGTTACTCAAACAGTTCGACGTTCAAAACGTTTACGTAACCTAAAGAATTCTTCATCTGAACAGCAATTAGGAACCGAATTTGAAACTCTTCAGATTCAAGGAAAAACTGCTCGAGTAACAACAAAAGTTATTGAACAACTACTTCCGGATGCAGCTATGGCTAATACAAGTTCTGACCAACAAAATCCTCTTCCAAAACGTGGACGAAAACGGAATAATCCTTCACCTGAACAATTGGTAGGAACTGAATCTGAAAATCAAGGAATTGCTACTCGAGGAACATCGAATACTATGGATAATACGAGTTCTACTCAAACAGTTCGACGTTCAAAACGTATACGAAACCAAAAGAATTCTTCACCTGAACAACAAATAGGAACCGAATTTGAAACTCTTCAGATTCAAGGAAAAACTGCTCGAGTAACAACAACAATCACTGAACAACTACTTTCGGATGCAGCTATGGCTAGTACAAGTTCTGACCAACAAACTCCTCTTCCAAAACGTGGACGAAAACGGAAGAATTCTTCACCTGAACAATTGGTAGGAACTGTATCTGAAACACTTCAACTACTACTTCCAGATACGACTATGCCTAGCACGAGTTCTACTCAAACATTTCGAAGTTCAAAACGTTTACGAAACCAAAAGAATGCTTCACCTGAACAACCTGTAGAAACCGAAGTTGAAACTCCTCAAATTCAAGAATTAGCTACTCAAGGTACAACTGTTACTCAGAAAACAGCTACTCAAGAAACAACTACTCGAGCAACAGCACCCACGATTATTGAACGACTACCTCCAGACGCGGCTATGGCTAATACTAGTTCTACCCAGCAAATTTCTTCACATGAACAATCAGTAGGAAACGAATCTGAAACTCTCCAAATTCAAGAAACAACTACTCAAGAAACAACTACTCGAGCAACAACACCTACGGTTATTGAACAACTACCTTCAGACGCGGCTATGGCTAATACTAGTTCTACTGAACAAATTTCTTCACATGAACAACTAGGAAACGAATGTGAAACTCTCCAAATTCAAGAAACAACTACTCAAGAAACAACTACCCGAGCAACAACACCTACGGTTATTGAACAACTACCTCCAGACGCGGCTACTGAACAAATTTCTTCACATGAACAACCAGTAGGAAACGAATATGAAACTCTTCAAATTCAAGAAACAACTACTCAAGAAACAGCTACTCGAGCAATAACATCTACGGTTATTGAACAACTACCTCCAGTCGCGGCCATGGATAGTACTAGTTTTACTCAGCAAATTTCTTTACATGAACAATCAGTAGGAACTGAATCTGAAACTCTTCAAATTCAAGAAACAACCACTCAAGATATAACCACTCTGGAAGTAGCTACTCAAGAAATAACTACTCGAATGGCAACACCCACGGTTATTGAACAACTACCTCCAACCGCAGCTATGGCTAGTATGAGTTCTACTCAACAAATTTCTTCATATGAACAACCAGTAGGAACCGAATATGAAATTCTTCAAATTCAAGAAACAATCACTCAAGGTACAACTGTTATTCAGGAAACAGCTGCTCGAGTAACATCAACAACTATTGAACAACTTCTTCCATACGCGGCTATGCCTAGTACAAGTTTTGAGGAAACACCTATTCAAGAAATAACCACTCAAGTAACAACACTCACGGTTATTGAACAATTACCTCCTGACGTGGTTATGGCTAGTACTAGTTCTATTCAACAACGTGAACAATCAGTAGGAACTGAATCTGAAACTCCTGGACGAGAAACTTCACTAAATGAGAAACCTGCAGGAACAGGTCCTGTTGAAGTTCCTAGTATTAGAGGAGCGACTAATGAAAATAATAATGAAGAACGGGAAGCACGTCCTGCAAAGAAAAAGAAAAAATCAAGAAAATCAAAGGCTGAAAAACGATTAGCTCGTTTCAAAACATGTTGCTCACTTGTAAGACTGAACTCTTTTTTAAAAAATCAAATTTCATTACGTGAATAATTTTTTTTTTCTTTTTTTCTTTTTTTTTTGATAATTACAGCGTTACCGTGAACGTATGATTCGTGCGGAACAACAACGAATTTACTTGATTGAACGAAACAAAATTACCGATCTCCGCGAAAAATTCGTTATCGTAGGACCAACTGGCAATGTAGGAAGTGTTTTATTGTTGTACAGAGACCTGTGCGAATGGGGTGTGGATCATTCGTTATACTTCGGACTAATTAACCTGCAACGAAACTTTTACTTTCAAATTTTCAGGTTTATACAGTTACTATTGCGCATTTACCAGATTGCACTTGTCCAGATTTCATGAAAGGATTTATATGTAAGCATATTGTAAGTATATTGGAGAAAATCTAAAACCTTCTTAATCGAGATCTAGAATTATGACATCATTTTACGTTTATATTTGTTTAGTTCTTTGTTTATCTCAAAGTTTTGGGTGTAAATCGAGATAGCACGCTTATCTATCAGAAAGCGCTTTTGTCTAAAGAACTTCGTTCAATCTTTACAAATGCAAGGCCTAGTCCGGCTGTTATGGTAATTTTATTCGTTGGTTAACTGTACAAAATCAAATTTCCACTAACATATTAAATTTCTTATATTTAGGCTCTTAGAAAAATTCGCGATAGATATAAAAAATTCACTTCAAGTAACGTCAACGAAAATGAAAACGAAAAACGTCGACCAATCGAAGGAAATTGCCCTATTTGGTACTTAGGCGTCCTATAATCATTTCCATATTATCCTAAAATCACATTATTTAACATCATTGAACTCAATATTAATAGCTATGATTCCTTAGAAGAAAAAGATCGTGATAAAATCGTATGGTGTAGACAAGGTTGCGGAAATAACCTTCACAAAGACTGCTTTGAGCAATGGAAGAGATCAAGATACGGTGGCAGGGTAAGCATGCTTTTTTTACTCTTAATATTTTTTTTTTTTTTAAAATTTATTTTTTCTTTTTTTTTTGATTTATCTATTAGGTTACTTGTGTTTATTGTCGCGTCAATTGGGTGGAGCCTGAAGTGTATATAACCAATGATGGTTATATTAACTTGGGAAATGTTCAAAGATTGGGAAGTATTCAAAGATTAAATATTCTTCAAGGTAATACATACAAAGTATTTTCAAATAATCAAAAAATTTCAAGACAAACTTTTTAATATCAATAATTTATTTTAGACGCTGCCTATTACCGCAATTTCCGCACCATAATTTAAGATTAATATTCCGAGGAATAATTGTTATACTACTCTATCTTGTACGATGAATTGATGAATTTTTTATTGTTTATATATAAATTGTACGTAAAATCACCTGTCATATTTTATGAAAATTATACATTTAATGAAATAATTAAGAGTATGTGAAAGAAGTTTTACACATGTTACGATTGTAATGCAACTTTAAAAATAGACATTGAAAACATCCAAATGTCGATAATATTATAGGAAATTCAAGAAATATGGTAAAAATCAAGTGCACAATAATAAATCTAACAAGTGGGAAATTCAATTGATTTTTAATTTTATTATACGCAAAGTCAACAAAATTAAATAACAACACTTTGAGTGTGCAATTTTATGTTTATATCTTATAATGAATTTTTTACATATTCGTTCGTATATTAATATACTGTATGTTAGTTAAATAAGCTTAGGTAAACAATAAAAAAAATAACATATGCCACATAATCTATAATAACTGAATAATATAAATAATATACGTACTCTGAACCTATTTACTACTTTTGAAATGGATGATTAAAAGATAAGAAATTTTTACCCGTCTTTTTTGGGGACAGGCAAACTATTGCTATTATCACCATTAAGTTATAACTTAGTATGTTAAATTGGTACCGTCAATGGCATAAACCATAAAGTGCAATCGATAGTATTATGATTCATGAATATACATACATAGTGCTGTACTGAGAAGAGAAGATGAAATGTAGTGTAATTTACAGTATTTTCGATAAAGGAGATGGCAAAAGAATAAACTTAAGAAACTTACTTCGTATAATTATATGAATTAAATCCGATTAAGGTTCGTTCAACTGTTAATCTCGAATTTAAATATCACTATAAAAATAGATGAAATAAAATTTAGCTTAATCAATCCGCACAGCTTTATGTAATAACGAAAATTGTCAAGCAATAACTCAGGCAGGCGAAATTGGCGCAATCATAAATATAATTTTTTTTTGTTATTGTATTATTAGTCTTACTACACAGTGTGTACTTCTTTTGCCAGATAAGACACGTTGACCTATTTTTTTAATGCTGGCCGAATTTTCGGTCCTTAACTTGCGCAATAAAGAAAAAAGATAGAAGAGACTTATGAAATAATATACAGTAGTAAGGCCGGACAAAAAAAAAATTTAGATTCTCGTGACCCGGCCGGGTCAGTTTTTCGAAAAATGGAATTTTTTTTTTAATAGTAAAAAATTTTATCACGTGTTTTAAGTTATTGGCTAATGTGGCGTAAAAAAATTTTACATATGAAAAAATTTTACAAATATAAAAATAAATGCCGCCGGCCGGGTCATTTTTAAAATTTTATGTCACGAGAATCTAAAAATTTTTTTTGCCCGGCCTAAACGATATTATTTTTATCTCAGCGCGATCTTCACACAATTTACGTTTATCGTTTGATACAAGGATGCACTACTAAATCTCTTTATTAACAAGTTTATTAGATAAAAATAAAATAAAATAAAATAAAATGACATCGTCACGGAAAATTTTATATTGGAATAAATTGCCAGATTACGGAATTAATTATAAACTTCTTGCTCACGAATATAAATATAAATGAAATGTTCTTTTTTGTACAACAAGGAAATCTTTTTATGGATAATTAGTTATATTAGTTGTGTCATGTTAAAAATATATAAAAGGCTATAAATAATAAATCTTTATTTACGAAATTGTTTTAGTAGCCATCAATGAATAATTATTTAGATTTTCAACAATTAAAAAAAAAAAGAGAAAAAAAAATGCTTCATTTAATAATCATCAGATATAATCATCACGGTTGATTGGAATGTTCTTTTTTTAAACTCTGATTGGTTACGGTAAACTTGATCAACTGCATTTTAGTATTTCCAATCTAAGTTAGAAGAGTCGGTGTGACTGATCCAATGTTTCCGATCATCAATTGCTGTGCCGGAATAAGAAGATTAAATGTCACCCCTTGTTACAGAGCATAAAACGGGCGTTATTGTACTACAAAAAAAAAAAAAAAAAAAATTTTTTTTTTTTTTTTTTTCATAGACGTCTAAAGTTGTCAACATGTTTGTGACAAATAATTTATTTAAAAGAACTTTATCTAATTTAAGAATTAGGAAAGAGTATCCATTTAGTAAAATATTAATGTCACAAGAGAAGCAGCAGAGGGATATTGTATCTGATAATATCCAATCTACGAATAAAACTACACATTTAGAAAGAACGAATAATTTGAAAAGACAAAAGGTAAAATCAAAATATTATAAATACTATTATAATATATATATACACATATATTCATTATTTATATTTTTATTTTTTTCTTATGACTTTTAGTCAAGGATTCCAACAAAAATTATAGAAATTACACAAGAGACGCCAACGGTCAAAACATTTAAATTTAATCCAACAAGTTCGTCATCAGAATTTTCTTTTTTACCAGGTCAATGGTTAGATGTATTTATTCCAAATGTATCAATAGTAGGAGGATTTTCATTAACATCAACACCACAATCATATAAGGAAACTAATACATTTGAATTAGCGATTAAATATTCAAATCATCCTCCCGCAAAGTGGTTTCATGAACAGGCAAATATAGGAGATGAAATTAGTGTTAGAGTAGGTGGTGAATTTGTGTGGGATTCATTAAAAGAAAAGCAAGAACAAACCGAACATGTAATATTTATCGCTGGTGGTGTTGGAATTAATCCTTTAATTAGTATGTTAGAATCAATTTGTCAAGATAAATTATTGGATAAAAAAAAATCATTTATTGAGAAAATTAGATTATTTTACAGCGTAAGAACTTTTAGTGAATTATTATTCTATAAGAGAATTGAAGGGTTAAATAAACAGTTCCCAGAAATGTTAGAATGTAGTTATTTTTTGACTAGAGATGATCCTCTTCATAAAAGTGAATTTTATTATAAACAAAGGATAGATAAAAAAATTATCAATGATGTTATTGAGAAAGAAGGAGATTATTTAGAAAAGTTAAAGTGTTTTATTTGTGGTCCTTCTTCGATGGAAGATGATATAATTAAATTTTTAAATGAATCTGGTGTAGATGAAGAAAGAATTTTATTCGAAAAGTGGTGGTAGAATTTTTCTTAAATTTCTATATCATGTGAATATGCATAGGTGCATGATGATGTACAACATAATTAAATTATATGCATTATAGTATTTATGTATAATTTCCCAATAATTATCTTAATTTAGAAATCTTGTATGATAATTTATTTCATGAAATGTATTAGATGTTTGAAATGTTTACAGTTTCAAAATATTTTAAATGCTATAAATGTTATTTATTTTATTTCATCATTTTTTTTTTTCATAAAATAATTTTCTTGAAAGAATGGGCTCATTATATCGATATTCAGCTTGGGCATTTTTCGGTTTTAAAGATTATACGAAACGTGGTTACGAAAAAAATTCAAAAAATTTTAATAATGAAGCGTTAAATGTAGATTTAACAGGTAAAATTGCGATAGTAACGGGAGCAAATTCAGGATTAGGAAAATATGTCGCAACTGAATTATTCAGACGTGGCGCTACCGTACATATGTTATGTAGAGATGAAACAAGAGGTGAACAAGCTCGTCAAGATATTTTATCTCAAGTTAAAACTTCATTTACAGCTGAAAATAAAGAAGTTGACGTAAATCTGTTGAAATTACATAAAGTTGATATTAGTGATTTAAAAAGAGTTAAAGAATTTATTAAACAATATGAACAAGAGGAAAAATATTGTCATATTCTTATTAATAATGCTGGTGTTATGAATAATGAACGAACGTTGACCAATTATGGTGTTGAAACAAATTTCGCTATAAATACTTTGGGTACTCATTTCTTAACTAAACAAATGGTTCCTATCTTACAAAAATCTGGTCCTGGCTCTAGAACGGTATGCAAATTATTAATTGCTTAATGCTTGGCTGGTTCGGGATTTTCGAGATTTTGACATTCGGGATTTTGTACCAGACCAATACTATATACTAATACATATACTTTTATATTCATACATTTTTTCTTAAAAAAAAAAAAAAAAATTTAGGTGGTTATATCATCGGGTGGTATGTACCTTAATAAACTTGATACATCCGATTTACAATTTGAACGAATGAAGCCGTTTCGTGGAACAATGGCATATGCTCAAAATAAGGTAAATGATAAAAAATAATTTTTTTTTTTTTAAAAAAAATATTGCGATTTATAAAATAATTCAAAACTTTTTCCTTATCATTCAAAACTTACTTTTAGCGCCAACAAGTTGAACTTAACGAATATTGGGCAAAAACATATTCAGAATCGACAACAGGAATAAAATTTCTTTCAATGCATCCGGGTTGGTCAGATACGCCGGGACTTAATAAATATATGGAAACTTTTTATAAAACGACAAAAAGTTATTTGCGTACTACAGGTCAAGGTGCTGATACAATTCTTTGGGCCGCTTTTAGTAAAGAAGTTGATGATATTCCAACTGGTTCTTTCTTATTTGATAGAAAGGTTGTTCCAATTCATTTACCTTTAGCTAAAACTAAAAGTACTGAAGATGATATAAAAAAATTGGTAGATATTTTAGATAAATTATCAGAAGAAGTTTTGGTGAAAGATTATAGTTCATAGAAGAGTATAGTGATATTTTTATTATTTGTTATTTATTAAATATTTTTATTTTTATTTCACAGAGTAAATATATTATTTATTAAATGGTTTGCGTCAAGATTGCGTTATTTATCACGTGACAATCGAGTATTGATCGATATAATGATATAACAATTTCGCCAATAAATTCGTTTTACAAATATCCAGAAGTCCTTTTAAGAAAAATTCTAAACTTAACGATGTATTCTCCGTAAGAGAAAGTTTTATGGGATGAAAAGAGGTTTTGCGTCGCTTGGTTTAGAGAACAAAAGAAAATGCAATCTCGTTAGTTTGAATATTTTCTTGAAATCAATGATCATTCTTTGTATGCGGATATTTAAATAATTACGTCTCAAATAGCCTGCAATTCATGTGAAATTAATACGTTTCGATCATACTTCGCAAGACCCATCACATTGCAGAAGATGTAATGATAAAAAGAATTTTAGTATGAAGTCAGAGTAATGAAATAATTTAAGAAAATGAATGAAAAGGCTAAATTCTCTCCCTATCATTATTGTTGGTAGTCCTATCATCTAACCCTAGTACTTGCACGATGTAGGCTACTGAAAGAAATTGAAAGGAATGAAAAAGTAATAAACACTAAACTTTACACCCTTTTACGTCTTCCATATAAACTAAAATCTATGTAAACTAGAAAAACTGAATTCTTTTAATTTATAAAAGGAGAACTTACCAATACCCATTAAATGCTTTAAACCTTCAAACTTTAATATAATTTCCCGCATTGCTATACAAACATGTCTTCTATTTGTTGTAAAATGAGAGACTATAGCGTTTAATATTTGACCAGCAAAGGTTCACCAGAGGTTTCACTTTGAACTTGTCTTTTATTTTTCTAATTGTTACCTCCCTTTGCCCAACATCATTTCTACAACCAGGCAGTTGCGTCAATATCTGTGGCATTTCACTGCATACTAACTATTGCTGAATCAAACATCATTGGTTTTTATGGCATAAAGCATATTAGTAGCGATATAATTGTCTTGAAGCATCATGGCGGGTAAATTAAAAAGCATGAAATAAACGTGAATATTGTTATTGAATTATGAGCTAATGTTCAGATACATGCCTTTACTTCTTTTTCGGGCAAGTTTTTTCGTTATCTATAGTTGAGAATGGGTTAATAAAAGTATAACCGATTGTAATTCTTTTGTGATATTGAAAATAAATATGAAAAAACTGCTTTGGATAATCTTAACATTTTATAAAACATAATAAATTATAAAATTGAATAATTAATTGAATGTTATTATGTAAGTTATCCTTAAAATATTATTGGTGAATGCTGATTTACTGGGAAGCAAGCTGATTAGCCAAAGGGTTGATTTTAAACACTTTATATGTAATTTTAATTTAAAGAAAAAAGAAGTGAAAGTGAGTACTATTGAACCAAAAAATCATGATGAATAGTTGACATAATAAACAGAACATTTTGCTTAATTGCGGGTAGTTTATTATTTCCATTAACAAAATATTGTTAAATATTGTTAATTTTCTTATTGCTACTTAGATTTTATATACTACTATGCTTTTTTTTCTAATTTTATAGAAATGTAACCTGTGGTTAGAATAATTGTCCGGAGCGTAGCGAAGGACTATTTATTGTACGGAACTAGATAAATTTTTAGTACCGGTTTAACCCATGTATTTTTTCCTTCCTTCCACCTACGTCACTATAATTTAGCCCTGCTTATTTCCTTTTATGTTTTGTATCACATTTTTTTGTAACGCTTTATTTTTAGCAACCCATTTTGTAACACTTTGTCACATTTTTTTGTAACACTTTATTGAGAAGATTTTTTTTATCAAAAACAAAAAAACAATTTTAAACCGTGATTTCCATCTCGAGTAGCTTTTCTTCTGCTGCTATTCGTTCTTTTAATCTTATGCAACTTTTTATATTTTGAAGTCTGTTAAAAGTAAAGTGTCTGAAAAGAATGTCATCAAGAGAACGAACGTGAGAAATCGCTACAAATGATAAACCAGCCGCAAATTCCTTCCTGCCGAGATCTATAACTGCTTTAGTTAAAGTCAGACCTTGCGATTTATGAACTGTAATAGCCCATGCAAGAGAAAGTGGAATTTGCAGGCGAGAACAAGTTCCGGATTTACCTTCCCACATACGCCGTATCGGAACAATAGGTACAACCGGAATTCCTTCTATGTTTGTTAGAGTTGGGCCATCATACTTGTCAAATGAAACCAGAATAACGGTTGGTAAAGAAGTGTGTTCAGCTTTCTCCTTATATAATATATCTGTTATTGTTCCTATTGCACCATTTACAAGACCAGCACCAACCCAAAGATTCGCAGTGAGCATAACACGTGTATTTCTGGCTAATAATAATTCAGATTCAAGTCCCTTTGCTGTCTCCGAATCAGCTTTTGAAGCTTCAGGGCCGCCTGTATGAACCGCACGAATTTTGGCAATAGGTTGGTTTAATGATCGAAGCTTCTCTAGATTAATTCTATCGACTTCTTCCCATGTTGGAATAATATTAATTGCATTTAAAAAAGTTCGTCGTTCTGATTCAGTAAGATTTTCAGGAACTCGTGTCATTAATAATTCCCAATCGGATTGTGTAGATTCTCCATCACGCATGCGAGTTAGGAGATCTCTAAATTTACGTTGTCTATCTGAGTTACCACTTTGTCGTTGCACGGCTACAAGTTTATAAATTTCTCGAAATTGGCTATAGGCTTTGCGTCCATCCTCAGATAAGTTATTTGACAAACGAGGATCCTTTGCATACATGGGAAGATCACGTACTGGAGGAAGCTGTCCAAAATCACCAAAAAGAATTAAAGAGCGGCCACCAAAGGGAATATTGGAACATTCCGGAAATGCTTGACGCAGCCACAGATCGATTAAAGCGAGAAATAGACGTCCTACCATACTCATTTCATCAACGATAAAATAGTGTATATCTTTTAGTTTGTTTTGGAGTTTCCTCAAAGATTCACCTGCAAGTTTATATGTTGTACCACTTATTGGAATTGAGAGCGCCGAATGGATTGTGCTGCCTTGAATATTGAACGCTGCAACTCCCGTTGGAGCGAGTACAATGGTGGCCTGTTGCAGTCTTTCCCGAATGGCATTAATGAGGTAAGATTTGCCGGTGCCAGCAGTACCCATAACAATGATTCGTAAAGCTTCCATAGATTGATTTGAGGTCGCTGCAATATAATGCGATTCTATTCTTTCAAATATTAACTTTTGTTTTTCGTTTAGGGTTTCATAGTTAATATTTGCCGAGTTTTTTCTAACTTGATTTACGTCGCTATCATTAATTGCCCGTTGGATAAAGCTTTCCACCTCTTCCATTTCAGGATATCGTAACCAACTTTCATTGACCCAATCATGATTAATATCAATATCACGGACATCAAAATCAGATGAATTACGTTCCCGTCTTTCTGGCATCATCTCGGACAATACCATCCAGTCAAGTCGAGGTTCATATTGTTCTTGAGTAATGTCTTCTTCCTCGTCCTCAGAACCATCGGTTTTTTACAGATTATCCACAGCAGGTCCTATCAAATCGGCAGGATCAGCATTGATCTCTGAAAGATGTTCGTTATACAGATCTATCCATGAACGAGTGTTATTCTGTGTGAGACTAAAAAGATCCTTATAATGAACATGTAGAAGAACTTTTATTCGACAAAACTCTTCCCATTGAGGACCATTACGAATTGGAGATGGGCGCGGCCAGACACGTACGATATTTTCTTTATCGCATTTTACCCACTTGTCTTTAACTAGCTTGTATTGCGAGTACAATCTAAACAACGAAATTTCATTAAATTCAATAGGCCGATTGCAATATCTTTGCAGAGGTGAGAGATCAGTTTTTTTAACTCCACAATCCTCACTATTTGTGTTATTGTCATTATCACGAAGCATGCGATTTGTCTCTTTGTTAAGATTTAGGCATACAAAATTTCGGCTACTATGATAAAGCGGTATTTGAAGGAGGAGATGGCAGGTTTCTTGGAACGAAAAATCGCGTTCTTCTACTGTGTGGATAAGCAACTTCTGAAATGCCTTAACACCTGGATCATCAGGATTGTCACTACGAAGTGCTTTATCTAACACCTCTGAATAAGCCACAGATCTTGGCTCCGCCTTACTAGCATACTTTGAAACATACTGTAAAGCAGTATGGGTTGTGAGGATGGGCTTCAAATCTACGTTCGCTCTCCATCCCTGCAGTTGGATACGGTCATGTGGATTAATCAGTGGATCATTTCTGGCCGTTATTAATTCTAGGTGACCATTTTCATTGTGTATGGTTGTTTTTTCTGCTATTTCTTTAGGAAATCCAAACCTACAGGCCTGTTTACCAGTTTGTTTGTTAATTCGAAGACAGTAGGAACTGCAACGCGTATGCCGTTGCAATTTGTTTATCAATTCAATATAATCCTGCATATCGTCATCAAGATTCTCCAATTGCTTTTGGCATGGGTGATGATCAGGAAGAAATGCATCCAGACCAGGGTTAATTGTGGTGATTAAAGAATCCAAATAACATGTTACTTCTTCCATTACTTCTTGATTATTAATCATTTCTTCCCAATCGATTTCAGGTGCTTCTTTTCGCTTGGCAATACCATGGACATGAACACTGTCGCAGTGTTGCCACTCAAATCGATACCACCAGTCGACTAATCCCCATTTGGGAATCAAAACTTTTTCGAAAAAAGCTTTAAATCGCTTTTCAAAATACCATGCTGCAATATGGGGATTATCTATAAGATCTTTCCTTCGACGTTTAGCAGCTTCCTGAATTGTTTCAGTCTCTGCGGGATTTTCTCCATTAGGCATGAGATCATGTAAGTCTGGCCAATGTGTATCAGCTGCACTAAACGTAAAGAATATCATTCCTTTGGATCCCATCTGTTTTATCATGTCTAAAAGTTCTGCTCTACGACGCAACCAATATTGACAGGTACCG